GTGGAAGTCCAATTCAGAGGAGGGCACTTAAGAAAACCGGACAGTTAAGATGCTAATACATGCAGACAGGTAAAGGAAGAGGAATAGCAGGATTCTCTGTAGTCTTAGCTGTAAGGAGTTTATGCTGCCATTTTTGTGGTCTTCAAAAAGCAGAAAGCAGGTAAGACATTTAGTGAGTTGGGTCAGTTAGTCACAGGGAAGCTCAGAGGATTCAGAAAGCAAATAGTAGGGACAGAAGTGGAAGTATCCAGAAGATACAGATGCATCCACCGTTAACGTCTTTGAATCATGGATGCCAGACCAGGGATGTAGCTCAGTGGCAGAGCACTTGCTTGGCAGGCACAAGGCTGTGGGTTTGATTTTGAACACCAGCCAAAAAAAAAAAATTTAAAAAGAAATTCTGGATGAACATGCTGAGATGCTCCAAGGACCCTGGGAAAGTCTACCTTGACAATAAGAACAGCCATTCTCAATAGGGGTAGGGATATGTCTTATTTTGAGATAGATCTACAGTGAAGAAGAATATATGAACCAGTATCACAAGTGTTTCAATGGCTTAACCAATAAGATCTACTTCTTCCTCCTGTCACAGTCCAAAGCATTTGTTCAGGAGGGGATATTATTTGCTTTAAGCAGTCATTCAGGAACCCTGGCTTCCTTGCATCTAGTGGCTCCTCTGTCCATCAGATCCTAAGAGTTCTACCATGGATCCCCGACGGATCACCAATGGCAAAAGAGAGTTCGGGGAAGACCATGTCAACAGTTTTCAGGGGATCATCCTGAGAGTGGCTTCCTCTACTCCCGCCCACATTCTGTTGGGCAGAACTCAGTCACACAGCAGCCCTCCTAGAATGCATGAACTTGGCAGTTAGCCACAGGCTGGAAGGGAGGGACGGGGTTGTTGGAGCCACAGAACGTCTCTGCTGCAGAAGGTTACAGAGTATTCTTTAGCCCAGTGGAGGGTCAGCATGATCACTGCCTAACGCAGCCAACAACAGGAAATAGGACATTTCATTTCATTAAAGGACAAATGTTAAAATAGGCCATACAATCAAAAGCCAAAACATGTTCTAGAAAACAGCGATATAAAGAAGAACTGAAGGAAAATGCACATCTCTTCTGAACCCTTCCATCCAGGGCCAGTTTTAATGGATGGAAGTTTGAGCCAAGGACATGGTCAGCAAAATTTGAAAGAAAACTTTCCATACACTGCTGAAGAAGGAAGGGAGAAGATGCCCACGATGGCGCTAATAAAAACGTCACGCAGCTGACTGACTCCCTGGGCCTTTCCACACACATGTCCTATAGCAGAAAATGTTCATTTAAAGAGACTCTTAGTCCTCTGGGACCCCAGGTGTGATTAGTCCAAGGGCTCACATACAGAATCCTATAGTGAGCATTAAGCCTAAATATGGGCGGGACACTCACCACCCTAAAACAGGAACATCCCACACCCCACACTCCAGCCAGGGACGGTGGTGGACACTCTAGCAGACAGAGCTAGGTTTTGCCTAGGGAAAGAAAAGACACAGCTTCACAGCTGTGTGTAGGTCAGCTTTCCATCACTGTGACCAAAATACCTGACAATAACAACTTGGAGGTAGGACGTTTATTTTGGCTCATGGTTTCAGAGATTCAGTGTATGGTCAGCTGACTCCAAGGCAGAAACACCATGGCAGAAGGGCATAGTAGAAAAGGGTAACTTGGCTCATGGCAACTGGCGGGGGTAGGGGGGCAAGTAGGGAGACAGAGATTGATTTTCTTAGGAAGAGGCTGAGTTGAAGATTAGCCCTTGCAGGGCACACCCCAGTGACCCACTTCCTCCAGCTAAGTCTCACCTCTTAATAGTCTACACAGCTATCCATCAAGTGGATTATTCCACAGAGTAGAGCCTTCATAGTCCAATCATTGCCTAAAAGCCTCACCTTTGAACCTTACTGCATGGGGGACCGTTCTTCCAATACATGAGTTTTGGGGGACAGTCCAGATCTAAGCCACAATTGTCGTGAACAAATAGAGTATTAGACCCTCTCCCCCTCCTCCATCAATAATAATAGGGTAGCTCTGACTGAAAGCTCACTAGGCACCGGACACTCCACTTATGCTTACATCTAAACTCCAAACAACCTCATGAGGGAGATATTTTTATTATCTATATTTTGTAGGTAAGGAATCTGACCTGCAAAGGTTAGGGTAACAGACCCAGTTAACCAGCTCACAAGTATTGAAATACAGTTCAAAGTAGCTGGGTTTGAGTTGTGCTTTGATGACTATATTCTGCTGTTGATGACATTGTATTTCTTTAGTGTAACAATAAAAGAAAAAAACAATTTGCAAACAACATTTGTGATGAAAATAAATGTTTTATAATGTTGGCATCCTTCGACTTTTTATTTCGTTTCCTTCATAACTGCCAAAAGCCTACAAAGTACAGATCCTTTTCTTGGTTTACTTTTAGCTCTCTTCTTTCCCAAGCCTTGGATTCAGTGTGTTCCCCTGCCTTTTATTTCATGGGGGATCCCTGGTATTTATTCTCCCTCAATAACTAAGCAGTAAGTCTTTCGCTGTGGCAGAAGGGAGGAGATGGGAGGAAAATTCAAAAAGTTGCATATTGGTATCTTAAAGTTTAGGTACTGTTTCTCCAAGCACTGGCACTATTTTTTTAAGTTCATTAAGCTATAGAGTGTTGGATACAAAGCAGTAAGCAGCCTGCTTACACTGTAGCCAGGGGTAGTATGGAATAGGACAGGCAGGACTGGACACAGCATGTAAGTTAAAAATGTTTGTGAGCAAGATTTGATCTTGGGAATGCAGAGAGGTTTAAAAGGGGACAGGGGGTATTCAGAGTCAAGTGCTGAGCAGCTTTCAATGAGCACCTCTCAGACATCAGTGTGAACTCCTCAGATTCCTCCTCCCAGACAGCACCAAAGTCCAGCTTATAACAAGATCAATAATTCACTTCTTGGTCTCAGAAACTACTTGTTCAATTCTCTTAACTTCAGGGCCAAAATGAGTTGTTTATTATTTACAGAAAATAAAAAAAAAAATACAACCTATGGTCAGTTCCAAGGATGGCCACTTGTTTCCTAATAAATTGGCAGGTAGGACAGTGGCCAAATTTCTGAAAAGATTTAAGTAAATCAAATGTATACAGTTGGCCACTTTAAAATGATTTTCCCACAATACTTATTAAGCATCTACTTTGAAAAATCACTGCATCCGGCAGAGACCTTCAGAAAGCAAACACAAACTGAAGACTTGACAGTTTCAAAATACTCAAGCAGAATAGTTTGTCAAAGAAAAGAAGCACTGATAATATGCATCACTCTGCATGTGACCTTGGGCCCAGCAGCTAACTTCTCTGAAGCACCAGCTTTTTCGTGTTCTAAAACAAGAGTTTATTCATTCAACAAATCACTGTAGCCTAATTCACAACTGGCTAAACTTCCCACAACTCCAGATGGACTGGTGGCCCAAGGACTGGGGCCTTAGTTTCCTCATTACAATTCAGCTATGGGGATTAAATCATCTTCTTAAATCTCTTAGCAAGGTGGAAGTGGTCACTATAGGCTATTTCCCTTTTTATTGTTCCCATGGAGCCCATTGTACACGCAGCACTGAGGAGGCCATGAATCCAAAGCTGTGCACCCAGGCTAGTCTATGCTCATGGAGTTCAGTTTGTAAAAAGGAGGTAGATCAACACAAGTATGTGACAAAGCAGGGGAGATGCACTAACAGAGCCTGTGACAGCTGTGCAGGGGGTACAAAGAGGGAACATCAAATTCTCTCTAGAGAGAAAGTCTAGATGTACAAGGCCATGGGTTTGATACTCGGCATAAATAAATAAATAGCATAAGTCCCGTCTTAAGCATAAGCAGCATGGAGACTAGAACCGAAGTCTAGGAACTTCTTGAGGCTTAACGTCCCAACTCCGAAAATTGTTGGTCTAAAATTCTGTATCGTGACCGTCGTTTTTTAGCATGCAATATCCAGGGGTCTTTCATTCATGAAGTTCTCATCCAGAAACGCAGTCAGGAATTACTGAATGATACCATTCTCCCACAAAACCAAACAAAAATCCCTTACCAATGGCGATTCTGGGGCTTAGGAAACACAAGTCCTACTGTGGGCACTTGCGATGCACCCCTTTCATAGGGGGAAACAAATGGAGGACAAAACCAGGCAGAGTCAGGGAAGAGGCCGGCCAAGACTCAGACTTTTGGGTCGCAACTGACACCTCTCTCCTTTTAAACCAGGCACCAGCACCGGGTCAGCACCTTCATTTGGCTGAAAGCAAAGGAGCTAAACACCACCAGCGCAATTTCAAAAACATCTGTGCCTGGCTGGAAAAGGGTCTTTAAGCCAGGGAGCAGCCCAAGGGTCCTCAGGAACTGAGATTCCAGAGTCCCAGCACAGACCCCGCACCGCCTTAGGCGATTTCGCTCGCTGCCCGCGAATACCCGCAGAGCCCGGGCCAAGATGCGATGCGAACACGGTGTTTTTTTGTTCTTTTTTCCTCTCCACCCCCAGACTCAGCCTCCCTCCTGGAGTCTGTCCTTCGGAACAGGGAACATGGAACGCGGGCGGACTGTGTTACAATCAGCTCATTTACAATCAGCTCGGAGGAGACTAGGGACGCGGGTGACACCGCTCAGCAGCGGAGTACAGCTGCGCCGCGCCTAGCTAGCGCTCCCCACCCGCGCTCACACCTACGCTCCTGGGGGCTGTGTGCGTTCGGGTGCGCGGGGGCCGGGCGAGGTGGAGCGCACCAGAGACCCGCCCCTGATCCGTCCCCCTCCGGCTGAGATTGGCAGGGCCCGGGCCCCACTCCAGCCAATGAGCGAGTTCCGGGGCGGGCCCTGGAGCTGCTGCTCAGGCTACTTAGAGTCGTCCGCGCGGCTGTAGGAAAGCACAGCCCAGCCCCGACTGCCCAGGTGGAGCACCCTTGCAGCTGGAGAAGACAGGAGCGCACCGGAACGGCGCCAGGCACAGCAGCAAAGCAGGGTTCGGCGAGGGGTAGAGCTGAGCCACAGCCTCACGCGCAGCCCGGGACCCATTCGCCACCGCCGTCTCCGCAGTACCCATGGGGACCAGGAGACTTTAAAGGAGTTTGGGGTTTCAGGAGCAGGGAAATCACCGGTACGGAGAGGCGGCATTCTTTGCCTCGGAAACGTATTTTTTTTTTTCCGACTGATTGTTTGGATCGTGTATTGGGTAGGAAGAAGGGGGTATTTGGGCTGAAACTAAACCTCTACACACACACACACACACACACACACACACACACACACACACTGCACTAATATTCTGCACTGGCTTCCCGGTCTCTTTGTTAGGTTATTTTAGAGCAGCCTCGCCCTGGCGCAGTCCGATTGGCTCTGCTGGGTTAAAAGCAGGCAAAGTAAGGGGCAGAGTGCACCTGCCTGCGTGGGCAGGTGTGCCCGGGTGCTTGAGTATACACGCATTAGCAAGGGTGCAAGCTCGGTTTGGAATTGTGTACGAATGGGGGGAGGGCGTCTAAGTGTGCCAATGTGTCGTCGCGAGGGTTTGTCATTGTGGGTGTATGTACCAGCCTGTCAGTGTCACTGTGCAGAATTTTGCTGGCATTTAGTGAATACCTGGGAATGTGTCCGATTGTCATTGTATAAACCGTGGTCAGGGGTGGGGTGCAACCTAGGGCAAAACTGGGAGGTGGGCTAGAGCGGGTGGGGACTTAAATGTGGGCTCAGCTTTCTTCAAGCTCTCTGGCCTTAGACGTCCCTTCTGCCTCCCAACCCACCCTCTGTCCTTCCTTGGGTGTCTGTCTCCTACGCTGCCACAGTCCACGTTCTCCCTGTTGGGACTTCGCATCATCTCCAGCCCGCCTGCATTTTCTCTTGTGGGAGTTAGAATAGGCTTCCCGGACAGGGTCGGAGGCGGTGTGGTGGCGTCCGCTCTGGCCCGCGGGACTGGTGGCTTCTGTACCTCCTTCCCCACCACAGGGAGGCACAGGGAACTCGGCTGGCGCAGGTGACAATAATGCGGGGCGTGCGCGGGCGAGCAGGTCCCAGGGGCACTGTCCATCTTGGAGGGACATTAGAGTCCCCCGACTCTGATGGTGTCTGTTTCTCCTCTTCTTCCGCAGATCCCAGTTCCTGGCCCTCGCCTCGCCGCGTCATTGATGGGCAACCAACTGGACCGCATCACCCACCTCAACTACAGCGAGTTGCCCACAGGGGACCCGTCCGGGATTGAGAAAGACGAACTTCGGGTCGGGGTCGCCTACTTCTTCTCGGATGAGGAGGAGGACCTGGACGAACGTGGGCAACCCGACAAGTTTGGCGTGAAGGCCCCCCCAGGCTGCACCCCCTGCCCAGAGAGCCCTAGCCGCCACCACCACCACCTGCTGCACCAACTAGTCCTTAACGAGACTCAGTTCTCCGCCTTTCGGGGCCAGGAATGCATCTTTTCCAAAGTGAGCGGCGGCCCTCAGGGCGCGGACCTGAGCGTCTACGCTGTCACCGCGCTGCCAGCGCTCTGCGAGCCCGGCGACCTGCTGGAGCTGCTGTGGCTACAGCCGGCTCGGGAGCCGCCCGCGCCGGTCCCGCACTGGGCGGTGTACGTGGGCGGTGGGCACATTATCCACCTGCACCAAGGCGAGATCCGCCAGGACAGCCTGTACGAGGCGGACGCGGCCAACGTGGGCCGGGTGGTGAATAGCTGGTACCGCTACCGCCCGCTGGTGGCCGAGTTGGTGGTGCAGAACGCCTGCGGCCACCTGGGCCTCAAGAGCGAGGAGATCTGCTGGACGAACTCGGAAAGCTTCGCCGCCTGGTGCCGCTTCGGCAAGCGGGAATTCAAAGCCGGAGGGGAGGTGCCGGCCGCCACGCAGCCCCCGCAGCAGCAGTACTATCTTAAGGTGCATCTGGGGGAAAACAAAATCCACACTGCCCGGTTTCACAGCCTGGAAGACCTCATCCGCGAGAAGCGCCGCATCGACGCCAGTGGCCGCCTGAGAGTGCTCCAGGAGCTGGCCGACTTGGTGGACGACAAGGAGTAGCCTGCCTGCCCCGCCTGTGTCCAGCGCCGGGTTCCCTTCCAGTCTGTGCCGGGCGGGCTTCGCGGCTGGCAGTTCTTGATCCCCAACCCACCCCCGCGTGCGTCAGCCGCCGGTGGTCTGTGCGAGGGGCTGCACCCTTGCACCCCGCCGGCCAGCGGCAGGAAGTCTCAGGAACTGACCCTGGGACTGAAAGGGCGCAGCTGCGCGCGCCTCGCTGAGAGCCTCAGTGGTGGTAACGGTGTTGGGAGACCCCTGAGAGTGCTTTTCCCTTGAGTTGTAAAGGGAGAAGGGAAACGGGCAGAGGAGAGCAGGGACGTGACCTTTCCCGTGAGTCAAAGGTCAGTGGCTTGCACCTGACAGGGAAATTACCCATTACTAAAAAGGGACCTTCAATACCCCAAATGTGCACAGACAGGCCAGTCAGAGGCGAGGATTGGTCTTTTCAGGGCACCGTTCACCTCCTGTATGAATGTGTCCCCAGAATGCAGGATTTCCAAGAAATCAAGCCTGCCCCTTGTGCACTTGTGAATAGTTCTGTGAGAAAGCACTTCGGGACTCTGGGTTATCCTGAGGCTGCCTGGGACTCTTCCAGCTCTCCAGCCCCAGGTCTCCTGACTTTATTCCAGGCTCTGGGCTAAGCTAGATAGTTTTTGCTTCCTGTTCTTTGCACCAGAGGGAGCAGACGCCACCCCACCCGCATTTGCCTGTGAGTCTCCCTCCTTGGCAGAAAGGGAAGCCTTCCGGTCTGGGAGGACAATAGCATGGCTAATTTGATGTGGAGAGCGGGCCCCACCCGGGAAAAGGAGATAGTTCACCTGGTGTCTGGGAACTTGAATGGGTGCAGAAGGGCGCTTATTGTTCTGAACCCTTGATTACTCCCTCCTCGGGCTGCATTTCAAAAATAGTCATATTTTTAAAGGGATTGGAGGAGTGGGAGGGGGAGGACACGGCAACATTCCAGAAACCAGCATTATGACAACACCATAGCCAGTATATTTAGTTTGGCTTTTCCTAACATAGAAATCTTAGAAGGTGGGGAAAAGGAAATCAAGTTTGAAAAAAACGAGAGAGCAGTTTTCCAACTATGTCAACAAAGCCTATCGTGTTGATGTTTTTATTGACCATTTTAGCAACATGCTAATAAAATTTCAAATTGAAATTTTTATTTTCATGGCTTTAATCCATGATAGTTTAAATACTGGGGGCCATTAAGAGTGGATTTAGCTAAGAGCTTAGCTAACATTTGCCTTTTCACTCTATTCTTTCTCAAATCGTATGAGAATTCTGTTTTTGAATATTGTAGTTATTTCATTTTATTTTTTTTTTTTTTGGCTTAAAAAGCAGCCCTAGTAATGGTGGAGTTGTTGATTAATGTGTATATTGTACTGAATTTCTGTTAGTTAAAGGGTTTACTGCTTTGGTGGAAATCGCTAGCAGGTTCCGTGATGGTTCTTTTCTCCATGTTGTGTATCATTACCATTTCACATTTGCATTTCTATTTTTTTCTCTTCTCCTGATCTCCTTAAAAAGGAATCTAGAGTTTGTGTGTCCCCCCACTCCCTGCCCCTTCTTTAGCTAGTCCCCCAGTTCATTCCTGAAAACAGGGAATAACTTGAAGAATCGGGACAAAAATATATTTTCCAAAATCTTAAGGTTGTATGAAACTCATTCCTTGAGCAAGGGTTTACAAACTTCTGTCCTTGGGCTGCAGCCCCAGTCTGACTGATTGTTAGTTACTGACTGATTGTGACTTGGCTCTGTGTATTAAGACACCTTACAGCATCTGTCTCTTTTGAGGGAATTTGTCAAATAATGGTGTTTAGCTAATTGTTGCAAGCAATTGCATAATAACAGCTACAATTTAGTTGGACAGCAAATATTATGGCCAAAGCCAGTTTCTGGCATTTCAAAAATAATGCAATAAAAACTAGTCGAGGTTAGCTGAGACTGGAAATGCCTTTTCCATGGTAAATGATTCATTTCTGTTGTGTGTGTGCGTGTGTGTGTGTGCGTGTGGTTTTGTTTTGTGTTTTGTTGGTTTTTATTCTGGATTCATTTCCTGACCTTGAATCAAAAGGTCGGATCAATGAAATATGAACTAAAGTATTTTTCTTAAGCCTACTGAGTGATTTATTTTTTGAAAATGTTTAAATGTATATGCTTCTCTTTCAGCACATGCAACAGCAAAAGTTTTATAATAACTATCTTAACTTTGCATGTATGGAGAACTGAAAGTCATCTATTTCCCTAACTTATTCTTCTCAATAACAGATGGCAGATCATAAACCAAAATTCTTTATTGTATCCACATACTCCATATTCTTTACTGTGTCCTACTACTGTATCTTGGCTCCCTGCTATATTAAAAACCATCCTAAGCACTTGTTCTAACAGGAGTCCTTCTTGACATTTTGTCTTCCACCTGTCACTCAAAAAGTCAGAGTTCTGCAAAAGAAATCAATCAGTCTCTATCTTAACCTAATGCTGGAATTTATTTCCTCTGATGGCACTTAATCTAATGTCTCTCTTAAGAAGAGTGTCATTTTAATTGAGGAATTGTTTACCAGATTCAGAATTCCTGAAACTAGATGGCAATAAAATAAGAGTTGGGCAGTTAAAGTAGTTTCATTATTGTATTGGTCTATTAAGAATTTGGTTGGTAATAATACTTCTTACAGATTCACCATTATAAAACACTGGTTATGGAAGAAACTTGAAATATTTTTAAGGCTTCTCAGATTCCTTTTGAAATAATTATCATCTCTTCCTCAATGCTGGTAAAAAATAATAGCAAAATAATTCTAATAATAATAATACATCTAGGTGCTTTATCCTGGGGAAAAAAAGTGTGTGTTTTTCAGGGTGTTATTAAGGATGCTACTGAATCCAAGAAGATGAAAGTTCCTTTGGTAGTTGGCAAGGGCACCCCTACTTTTATTAGGGGTGAATGCACTATTTCTAAATTGTACCAAAGTTACAGAAATTAATCCACAAGTCTCTTCATATTTTAATAAAGGCCAGAAATTTAATTCTAGTCTTACTTGTCCTCAGGGGACGACAGTGCATAGTCCATGAGGTACCATGAAGTAGAAAGTATTTCTGCTCAACCTTCTCCAGTACAAAGCAAAGTTCCCTCTATTCTGTCTCCACTTTCAGGGGGCGATTCTGAAAAGAAAATTTCTTCTACTAAAAAAAAAAAAAAGTAAAAAGCCAGATCCTTCTAAGAGTGCTTTACTACTTATTTTCTTGTTAGAGAGAGAGAGAGAGAGAGAGAGAGAGAGACATAGAGAGAAGAGAACTGGGCATAGTTTCTGAGCCTGTAATGATGATATTCTATAAGGTATTCCTTCTTTTAAAAGAGAAATCCTGTAGAAGTTACATATTTTGCATTTATTTTTTAATTTAAAAATATGTCAATGAGCCCAATGATATATTTTAAAACATTTAAAACTTTTAAGTCCCTGTCATAACAGCATTTTAAAAGATTCATATAAATCAACTTGCAGTTAGAAAATACCTGTGCCAGATATAAAATCAAACACAAAAGCGGGGTTGTCAGCTCAGTGACATCAGATGATTTCACTAGATTTCTTTTTAATTGTCTTATTTTTCTTCCCTTATGTATCATATTTCTTTGGTGAACACTTTTTTTTTGAATAGTGACTTTTTTTTTTTTTAGAAAAGCATGTTATTGATGTTTACAAAATAATTCATTACCTGAATCATGAGTGTATTCTAACAGTCTTCAAATATCTCTTTATTGATTACTTATGTTCTGTATGCTTTCAACATCCCTAAGAGTTAAATGTGTTCATCATCTGATCAATGAAAGGAGCAGGGTCAAGTTTCAGTTAGATTAACAATAAATTGCATAGTCGTAATAGGGCCACCTAAATTTCTTTTATCCAAATGCATCACATGCAAATAGTCAAATCTCTTTCTCTCCCCCCTCCACAACCCCACCCCCGTTGCTGGGGTTTGAACCCAGGGTCTCAGATGCTAAGCACATGCCCTACTACTGAGCTTCACCTCTACCTGCAACCAGATTTTCTCTTTGAAATAATGGAAGAAAATCTAGTTAATATTTGCCACACACAAAAAGTCTGCAGTTCAAAAATATAGGTTTCCAGGTCTCTTGAAATATAAAGAATTTCATTTAGAGAATGTTTATCTTAAATGCATGCCAATTTATTTTTGTTGAAAAGTATTAGTTATTAGCAGAATATACATATTTGTTAAGTATATTTACATGCATATGAACACATATGTAAATATATACATACTATATACATGCATATTGCATCTGTACACACTCATAAACATACAGAATTTTTAAAACAAAATGAAGAGTGACTTTGAGATTTATGTAAGTGGGTCTAAAAGATCTGGAGATCAGAAACAGCTAAGAGGCAACTGCACAGCAAGTGGTTACACCTGAAACTAAACATTAGCAACAAGGAGAAACTACGAACGCCATAGGGTTAGCTTTAATCTCACTTTTGAAGTATGGACATGGCTTCTCTACAAAAATAAAATAAAATAATAATAATAATAATAATAATAATAATAGTAATAATATAAAATTCAAAGGAAACTGAAAAGGTTGGGAAGCAGTTGGAAAACAGGGACCAGGATGCAGTGGGAGGTTATGGGATGATATGAGCTAACAGCTTTTCCACAGGGGATGGCTGTGCTTTGTTTTAACTGAACACCCTAGAGAAAATCTAGAACCCTATTTTCAACAATTCAATAATTTCTATAATTCTCTGATTTCATAACTCAAAGCTTACCTTTAAGTTTGAAAGTTTATCACATTCGGACTTGCACTATAAGAGGTTTAAATATTTGAATATATTGGGAAAAAAAATAATAGTCTTTCCTGTACTTGTTGCTGAAGGAGACTCTTCAATTCTTGCTTTTGATGGCAGAACACCCAGTTGACAGGTTCCTGGGCTATGGTCCTGTAACATTCTCTCTGATGGCTGACGGTACAAGGCACATTGTAAATGCTCCCTAAATACAAGTTTAGGGCAGCTCTCCAGTAACTTGATCACCAGGAAACTTGGAAAGAACACCACTTGGTTCACCTGCAGAGTGAAACAGAAAGAACTTAATAAGTTGGCAGGGTTTTAGCACCTCAGCTACATAAACACACAATGGGAGGCTTAGGCTGAATGATTTCAGGCATTTGGAATATCCAGTTTGCTTCTAGAAAAAAATATCAAGGATTCCAGGAAAACAAGAATATATTCTCTTGTCATTTGGTCAGAAAGGGGAAAGCAAACTAATAATTCTGACTGTAACTTCTCACAACTTCGTATCTCATTCACCTCAAAGAAAAAATCTTTCTTGCATGAAATCACAAGATTATTCCTTCAGAAGGAAGCTTATTATTGAAGCTCTTGCGGAAAATGTAGAGAAAGCCTTATTGGAATATACCCTCAACTCTATGGGAAGATTAGCTTTGCAGTTTGGTTGAGGGTGTTTTTCTAAATAAATATTACTCATTTATATAAAAAATAACTGCTATGCCTGATGACTTTTATAATCCAATTACTTTTTGTGAACATGAATTCTGAACTTATTACTTTTTGTGAACATGAATTCTGAACTTCCCAAAGGGTAGGTGCTTATGAGATATTAGGTGCCTTAAAATTCTAGCACAAAATAAATGCTCCAAAAGTTAATTCTAGCTTCATTTAATGCTAAAGCAAACAGACAAACAAACAAATGTTATATATTGCCAATTCTTATACATGCTTCCAAAGAAAATTCTTGCCATCAATCCATGATAGAGACACTAATGTTCTGCTCATACCACCATGGGACACTTGAGAGCTTTTCTATTATAAGTATATTGATACTTCCTTTGGCAAATATGTTGTTCTAAATTCCCTCCAAAAGTCTTGCAAAACATCAGTTCTCTGCTCAGTCCCAAGTCCACTCTTTTCAGATTTTAGATTCTCCCAGAGGATGCTCAGACCTGGGGTCATACTGACAGTGGCTTTGTAAAGCATCCCAACTCCCAACAGCACACACTTTTTCCCCTCCTGCTTCTTGTGAAAGGGTCTGCCTGGGATGTCTGAGCCAATGTGAGGTAAAGCCCAGAGGAAGAATTATCATATTTAGCTGAAAACAACAACAACAACAAAAATAACA